ATGATCACAATATCTGACTTTCAACACCCCACTTCCTTTTTTACTCTTTTTACATGTGATGCTTTGTTCACAGCAAACGCTGCCTGATTGTCAAGTAAAAATATTTCTCCCACAAACTTTTTCTCCTTGTGCTGAAACGTGTCATTCATTCAGCATTTCACATCACGGTCGCTGACCAGAACTGAAAACCCAAACCACAGCCCTCAGAAGGCCCATCTGCCAGTACAGATGGACATCCATCCAACCAACCGTCCATCAATTCATCCAACCGGTCATCCATCCAACCGTTCACCTATCCATCCATCCATCCATCCATCTGTCCACCCATCCAACCGTTCATCCATCTATCCATCCAACCGTTCATCCATCTATCCATCCATCTATCCATCCATCTGTCCACCCATCCAACCGTTCATCCATCCATCCATCCATCCATCCATCCATTCAACCAACCATCCATCCATCTGTCCACCTATCCAACCGTTCATCCATCTATCCATCCATCTATCCATCCATCTGTCCACCCATCCAACCGTTCATCCATCTATCCATCCATCCATCTATCCATCCATCCATCCATCCATCCATTCATCCAACCATCCATCCATCTGGTCATCCATCCAACTATCCATCCATCCATCTGTCCATCCATCCATCCATCCATCCATCCATCCATCCATTCATCCATTCAACCAACCATCTATCCAACCGTACATCCATCCATCTGTCCATCCATCCAACTGTCCATCAATTCATCCAACCGGTCATCCATCCAATCTTTCACCTATCCATCCATCCATCTGTCCATCCATCCAACCGTTCATCCATCCATCTATCCATCCATCCATCCATCCATCCATCCATCCATTCAACTAACCATCCATCCATCTGTCCGTCCATCCATCTGGTCATCCATCCAACTATCCATCCATCCATTCATCCATCTATCCATTCATCCATTCAACCAACCATCTATCCAACCGTCCATCCATCCATCTGTCCATCCATCCAACCGTTAATCCATCCATTCAACCAACCATCCATCCATCTGTCCGTCCATCCATCTGGTCATCCATCCAACTATCCATCCATCCATCCAGTCATCCATTCAACCAACCATCTATCCAACCGTCCATCCATCCAACCGTCCATCAATTCATCCAACTGGTCATCCATCTATCCATCCATTCATCCATTCAACCAACCATCTATCCATCCATCTGTTCAACCAACCATCCATCCATCTGTCCGTCCATCCAACTATCCATCCATCCATTCAACCAACCATCTATCCTACCGTCCATCCATCCAACCAACCATCCATCCAACAGTCCATCAATTCATCCAACCGATCATCCATCCAACCTTTCACCTATCCATCCGACCATTCATCCATCCATCCATCCATCCATCCAGTAGGGCTGGGCGATATGACCCAAAATTCATATCTCGATATTTTTTAGCTGGATGGCGATATAAGATATATATCTCGATATTTTTTTAAGCCATAAAGTAAGAACAAAAAGAGAGTTCTTAGTCAAAGCTGTGTCCCAGATGTCACACAGGCACTTTTATTAACATAGCACAGATGTACATAAAAATTACTCAAAAATAAATTATGAGCATTTATTAAATAATAATGCTCCATAAATAAAAGAAAACAATGTTGTTTTTGTGCATAACAAAAAGCTCACAATTGTGCAGTCAAAATGTAAACTAAAAGACGAGCACAATAACAAAGACAGATTTCACAGCTGCTCTGTTCCCAACTTGTACTGCGTGACTGACAGCCTGGAGTTTGAAATCCGCTTCGCAACCACGTCTCTTAACAGGTGCCATTTATGGTCCTTATACACAGTAGGGTAATATTACGTTGAAGCACAGTACGTATCACTCCGCGAGGCTCAGCCGTAATGCTCCGACAATCCATCAAGCGGTGCAGCTCCGTAGCTTACCAAAGTCGTACTAAAACATTTTTGACAGATTGCTGAGCGCCATGTTCCACATAAAATCGGTTCGCGGCCATCAAGCACAACCAGAATTCATACATAAGGCTGCATGGCGTTAGCGTGGTTAGCTCGTTAGCGTGGTTAGCTAGCTAACACGTTGACGCCGTCCAGCCCCACGCACGGGGCGATGCGCAGTAACTCGTTAACGGAGATTTGCCGTGTCCATCTTGTCGCTTCCTGCAGGTGAAGCGATGGGGGAGGAGGGGGAGTTGTGTTCAGTGAAGGAGAGGCGAGGCCGAGTAACGTTGCGTAAAGACGAAAGTGGACGAAAGAGAGGCAAACTTGCGGCTCCGCAAGTATAATTATAACGTAACATAGACTATATCGATATAAAGGATATGGTCACATCTTATATCTCGTATAAAAATATATCGATATTTTTTAAAAACTCGATATATCGCCCAGCTCTAATCCAGCCATCTGTTCAACCAACCAACCGTCCACTAGGGCTGGGCCATATTATACCGTTCACGGTAATACCGGTATAATGTTAGGCAACGATAGGAAAATGAAATATCGCGATAGAATGGGAGTAAAACGCGCATGCGCAGTGCCTTTGTTTTCATACGCACATGGCCGATTGTTGAGTGAAACAGATGAACCAGAATTGGTTTGTAAAAATGGTGCAACTTCAGTGATGTGGAACTGGTTTGGTGTTTGTCCGTCAGATACACGACAAAGCACATTTTTTTGCAGAACATGCAAGCGGCCGTCGTTATTGTCGTATTTGTCGGACTAAGATGCTCTTAAATCTGGGAGTAATCTGGGTCCTAAACTCCGTATGCTTCAGGTCAAACGAACACTGCAGCATCACTGAGAGTTAAAAACTGTCTAAATTCTTTCATCTTTAATAAAACGATCAGCATTGCTGCTTTACCAGGTGTAACTATGAAGTTTAACTTCCAGGCATCCATGAAAACAAAATGTATTACATTTAACGGAGTTAGAAGTTAGCAGGAAGCTAGCGGAAGTTAGCTCGCTAGTTTCGCTAGTTACCTAAGCATGATATAGCATGTTCTGACTGAGAGATTTCTGAAAAAATCAAACGTACAGCTCTGCTATCACTTCCAACATAAATGAAGACAGGAAACTAAACAGCAGTGACGTTTGTAGGGTTACTGAAGTTGGGCTAGCTGGTATATAATGATGTGCTACGTGATCGCTAGCGACACAGCTATGTTAGCATAACATAAACAGTGAAGCTGGAGGACGAACACTAACACTTTTCCACTTATAAAAGTTAACGTGAAGGTTCCTCATGGTTAGAGACAAATGCAATCGCATGGCAGGATGCTGTAAACGGACCAAACTTCAGTCAGGAGAACAACTGAGATAATCCATCCACAATACGAGGTTAGTCATTAATATACTGCAACAACATGGGAATAGAGCAGCTGCCAGAGAATTCAACATTAATGAATCAATGGTACAGAAGTGGAGGAAGCAAGAAGAATGAGTTTAATAAAGTTTGATTTATCTGACTGCTTTGTTTCGCTTAATGTGCCTTATAATCCCGTGCACCTTATGGTCCGAAAAATACGTACTGCACACTGCAGTTTAATGTTGCAAAGCACCTCTTTTTAACTTCAGTGGATATTATACATGGTTATGCTCAGGATATGTCAGCCCATTTCTACTGGAAATGCCTTTTGGTTAAACTTTCAGCAAGGAATTTGCATTTGCACTGTTACATTTTTATAAAGCTTTAATGTACATAAAAACCAGCTTCTTGTTTAAGTGAAAATAAATGGAAGGTTGTCTTTTTGCGCTAGTAATGTTGTGGAGTTGTATTTTGTCTCGCATCAATTATATCGTCAGTTATATCGTTATCGCAAATTTTCAAATATATATCGTGATAAATATTTTTGGCCATATCGCCCTGCTCTACCATCCATCCATCTGTCCATCCATCTGTTCAACCAACCAACCAAATATCCATCCATCCGTTCATCTTCTTCTTTTTATCCGGTTCAGGGGTGGCTGGATCCTCTCCCAGCTGAACAGATAACCTAACATCCAAACACTTAATCTGCCTTTGTGTTGTTAGGAGGAACCCAGAGAGAACCTACACAGGAACATGGAGAACCCGGTCAGTGCTGTTAAAGCACCACAGCCTGAAATGTCTCTGACAGTCAGTGCTGGAGTTTTTATGATGACACAAAGAGGAAGGTCAGGACTTCACTTCTGTTTGCTGCTGAGTGGATCAAAAACACTCCAGCCTGGTGTGCTCCTGATGCTGATCCAGTGACAACAAACACAAACACAGGTCTCATGCCTCCTCTGCTGCTCACAACAGTGACTCCACTAAAACGACATTTAGACACGCTACACGACGAAAAGCTTCACCAGGTTAGAAGAATGACGGAGGCGGTCGTCAGCAGCTGAACTTTGCCTGATTAGTCACAGCGATGGTTTACAGGACTCTTTTTAATCTTAATAGAACACTAAAGAAACTTTCACACCCTGACAGGTTCAACTCTGGGACTGAGGTCAGTTTCATATTTCAGCTGTGAAGCTGTAATCTCATATGTAATGTTCATATTAAACCTGAACGCTTTGAGACGTTTAACAAACGAAGGAAGACGATGTTTTCTGTGGAGCAGTGAATAACCGTGGATTCTGTTCTCAGATCTTATGGAGCAAAGAGAAAACATCAGAGGTCCAGATCATTCAGGAACACATCGCAGGTTATAATAATGTCAGGTGCAGCATCAAGCTGTTCCATTAAAAATGGAAGAAAGTGATCAATAAAAGTGCTGATGTTCACTTTCTAAACACAGGAAGCAGGTGATCTGCAAGTGTAAAACGCGGAAATATCTGTCACAGCAGAAGCTGCAGTCAGTTTTATGCAGGGACTTTTACATCCTTTATTTATGCAGATGAAAACTCAGCAGACATAAGAATGATGATGATGATGATGGTGTGGAGACAACAACACAGAGTCATTTCTTTAAGCCCTCCAGAAACATAAAAACTCAGGTATGAGCTCACCTGGACCTGGTACATGTCTCAGTCCTGCAGCTTTCAGCGGCACGCAGCTGGAGGCGAAGCCGCCAGCAGTGCACCTACACCCGGTTTCAGTGCGACAGACGGCGCGGTGTCTCTCCGGAGGCTCCCCGCCTGAAAGCTCCGCGTCCGGCTCTGACTCGTCCGAACGCCTCAGGCTCCGGGACGCATCTCACTCCGCTCCGGCCAGGGGAGGGACGAAGGTGGAGCGAGCAGAGCCGAGCCGCTCCGAACAGCTCCGAGGTCAAAGCACACCGGCGAAACACAGCCTCTTCCTGTCAGCGCTTTCACAATAAAAGTCACAGCTTTAAACTTCATTATTTAAACGGGCTTTCTGTTGAATTACTACCAAATTAATGGAAACCACACATTTCGGCACTTTTATTTATGTTATTTTAGTTTTTTCTGTGAAAAGCACTTTGCAAATAAAGGTTTTTAGGCATTGAATTCAAAGTGTCAGACCTTTGGTTGAAAAAGCAGATAATTTGGAGGGTAAGCTGTCAGAGATCGGTCTGTGCTCTATGTCCAAACTAAAACACACCTAATCTTTGGTGTGTCCCACGGTTACAGGCTCTGTTAGAAACTGAACTCAGATCAGTTTTACATCCACTCCAAGAGACTGAACATCTGTGAGTGTGGGAGTGTTGGACCTATGGCGGTGTGACGCAGAGGAGCAGGAACCTGGATGTTTGATCTGGTTGTCATAATTCCCTGCATGAAGCTTCACACACAAAGTGCATTCTGGGTAAACTTTCAGGGCTCATATCAGCATGTAGGACAGGTGTCTGCTCAGCACAGGTGAGAGCAGATAAAGGTCTCCTTTGTACCTGCGTGTGATGCCAACGTCCAGCCCTCGGTGTCAGAATATTTCCTTTGATATGATCACCACGCAGCTCACAGCTGTTGTTTGTGATAGTTTGTATGAAATAATCAAAAGCCTTCGGTCCTGCAAAGGTTTGTGTGGATGCCGAGCAGCCTGGATCACAGAGGCTCTCAGGATCAAAGATGGATCATTAGATTCAGTTACGATGAAGAGGATGTTTCCTGGATGTTTTCCAGCTTCTGCCTTCAGGATGACAGCGTCCCGGCTTGAGCCACGCACCTGAAGTTCAAGCGCTACATGTTTCACTGTGTCGCTTTGCAACACGAATGCATGTTTCACTCAGCAGACTGGAGATCTGCTCATAGACGGCTGCCTCGTCTCACCTTTCCCTGAAGATCCCAGCCTGGGTGTCCACATTTCCATTCTGTGCTCACGTCAAGTCTGTCACCTAGTGAACATCTTAAGCCATCACTCACTGACTCTGTAGCAGAGATCCCTCAGCAGCTCTCAGGTCTCCTGCACTCGCTGTGGTCCTCAGGCATCTGGACGATGGAGAGACTCTATGTCTTAGCTGGCTTGGGACCAGCTCAGTGTCTTCCATCTCTAAGAGTGTGATTACAATGGTACAACTACAGCCTCTCACCTGTGAGAGTCCTCGTGTGGTCCATCAAATTCCTTTTGCGCTGAAAGCCTTCATGTTCAACAAACCTCTGGTTACAGACGTTCCTGTGGTATACCAAAACACTTTTCAAGTGTTTCCCAAGGATGTGGCCTCCCACCAGTGAGAGTTCTCAAGTGGCGTTTCCAGGTCTTTTTCAACCTGAAGCTTTTCCCACATGTTTTGAAGGATTTTAACAAGTTTCTTTCTTTGGGCCTGACTCTTGATGGATTTTTGGCAAACATCAGACTCTCTACCTGTGGCAGCATTGCAGGGACTCTCTGACACAGTCCAGCTCTCCACATCATCCTGACGTCTGTCTCGCTTCTTTCTCTTCTTTGGCACTGAGGTCACAGTTTCACTTAACCCTGACTCTTCACACTTGCTGGATTCTTCATCTGTGCTTTCACTTTGAGGAGAGTCATCACAGAGGAGCTGCTCCCCGTCTCCTCCTGGTTCACTGTGCTCTCCTTCCTCAGCAGCAGTCACCATGAAGGTATCCGTCTCCTCCTTCAGTCCCAGCTGCTCTCCCTCCTGACTGCTGCACAGTTCCTCCTCTTCCTCTTTAATCTGTGAAGCTTCTGGTTCCTCCTGCTCCACACTGGAGCTCCTCTCCTGGTTCCAGAGCTGCTGCTCAGGGAGAAGTCCTCCTCCTCCTCCTCCTCCTCCTCACAGACCTCGCTGCTGTGGGACGTCTGGAGCGACAGAAGAAAGAAGTTACTGATGCAACCGCAGAAACATTAACAGGACTTTACAGCATGACTGCATCACTCATGAATGTGGACAGGCACCTGAGTTCACCTGTTTTGTGGTTTAAAAGCCACAAAGACGCTGTGTTTAGAGAAAATGGGTCTCAATTGTTCCCATACTGCTGACACATACGGGATCACTGAGGGTTTTTTCTTCTCCAGCTTTGACAAAAGTCCAGCTGGGATAACCACATTTACTCAGGGTCAGCTTTTCATCCATTTCATTAATAGTAATAAAAATCACACAGCAGTAATACGTCGAAGATCCTGAAGTTTGATCTGATTTCCACCAATGAAGACTCTGAGCACGCCACAAACACATTTAATGAACAGCATGTGTAATTCCTCATTTACTTTAGACCCACATCAAACAATAAAATAAAGCCGTGTGTTAGTATTCATTCACGTCAGACTCTTTGGTGTTGAGTATATGAATGATCAGTAGTAGAATGGATATGATTCATTATGGATAAAAACCTGAACGAGGCCTTTTCTTTCCATTTTCTCTCCTTTATTATTTATAACACGCTGTTTATGTGTTTATGGCTCAGTTTGGTACATTTAAATAGGTTTTAGGAAGAAAGGAGGACGTTTATTCCAAGCGGAACAAAGTATTTGAACATCCTCCTCCTGCCGGAACTTCAGAGCGGGACATCCGGCGGAAGTAAACATTTTTAAAAGCGGCAGTATGGTTGTTCCAGCGTGAACTTTTGGAGGCTTTGTGCTGTGTGTGAGCTGAGTGTGAGCTGCGGCAGCAACGATGCCTTCAGTTCAGTATCTGAGAGAGTTTATCAACGAGCGACTAACTGCTGCTGCTGAACAAATATTCTTGGAGTTTGAAAAAACGATCGTCCAGTACGAGGAAGAGATCGACCGTCAGCGCAGACTGCTGGATATCACCTGGAAACCCCAAATCAAGCTGCACAGGACAGGTGAGTGTCCCTCTGAGGGAGCATCCTGATCACAGCTCTGCGGGACGTTTCTGATTGTGAGGACTTTTTGGAGATGTGAGCTAACAAAGAGCAAACAGAGGACAGGACTGCGCTGCATTCAAACAGCAGGCGCTGAAATCAGCCTGGATTTGAGCTTTTCTCTGACCTGGATCCATCACTCAATCCTGTGAATCGTTTGAAAAACTTTTTGTTTGGCGGTGAAACGTGTGTTTGATGGTGCGTTCAGGTGCACCTTCTAAACTCAGTAATCTAGCCTGAAAAGGTTTTTCCTTGGTTTCCTTTCTTCTTCTGCAGAGCTGTAAAGAGTTCAGTGTCTTTTTTATTTCTCCATCAGTGACGTCAGAGTGGTCGCCCGGGCCCTTTGTGATGATGTCACATAAAAGCTAAAGTGGTACACAGCACGTGCACGGTTCCTGTGGTCACATTTACACACGTGTGAGAACAACAAAGTCCACCATGTTGTTGTTCAGAGTCACGGACGCGACTGAAAGAAGTGACACAGAGTTTAATGTGCAGCTCGGCACAGTGACACCTAATATTGAATTTATGAACTGTAGTGGCAGTGCGGTGCTGCTGCTGTGCTGAGGGGGCTTTACCTTCCAGATGTTCGTCTGAATAAATGCAGATCTGAGATCAGTGACTTACAGCTGACTGGACGGCTTTACTCTCACACACGAGCGACGCAGTCATGCTGTAAAGTCCTGTTAATGTTTCTGTGGTTGTGTCTTCTTTCTTCTGTCTCTCCAGACGTCCCACAGCAGCAGGTCTGTGAGGAGGAGGAGGAGGAGGAGGTTCTCCCTGAGCAGCAGCTCTGGAACCAGGAGAGGAGCTCCAGTGTGGAGCAGGAGGAACCAGAACCTTCACAGATTAAAGAGAAAGAGGAGGAACTGTGTAGCAGTCAGCAGGGAGAGCAGCTGGGACTGAAGGAGGAGCCTGAAGTTCATAATGATCCTGTGCAGTACGAGGAAGAGATCGACCGTCAGCGCAGACTGCTGGATATCACCTGGAAACCCCAAATCAAGCTGCACAGGACAGGTGAGTGTCCCTCTGAGGGAGCATCCTGATCACAGCTCTGCGGGACGTTTCTGATTGTGAGGACTTTTTGGAGATGTGAGCTAACAAAGAGCAAACAGAGGACAGGACTGCGCTGCGCTGCATGCAAACAGCAGCTGGTGGATTTGAGCTTTTCTCTGACCTGGATC